TGCCGACGAAGTCATCTGTGTTTTTGTAAAAGAAAATAATGTTTTTGATTTTAAATGAAATCAACAATTTTGCTACATGTGTAAGGATAGCATTTTCTAATTTTTAATGTAGGCCACAGAAGACGAAAGAGCTCATTTATGATTTCAGAAGAAATCCATCTGTTCACGATCCGGCGTTTGTGATGAATGTGTAGACAGGGTACATTGCTACCTCGGATTTAATTTAATTTATTTGACCTTGACCCTCAAAAATTTACACCCTTTTAATACCTGGATCGTCCCTAACACATAATAATTTCTTCGTTGTAACTTGGTTAAATTTTCCCGAAAGTTTATTTCAGGTCGATTGACCCATTTTTTAACTATCTAGTGTAGACTGTTTGCCCTTAAATCAATTTAATTGGTCCTCACAGCACACCTCACTAGACTAAATATTAGGAGGCATGATCATTGTTATCTTAGAGATAATGATCAGCAATGCATTTTTGTAAAAAAAATCGGTAGAATAGAAAATCTGTATTAAGAATGCGTACGAGAGATATGGACTTATATTATAGATTTGTATCGCCTATCAAATAAAATAAACTAATTAAATCTGTTGGGAATAAGTAGAGCCATATTTTGTTACTTGTTAAAACAACTTATTTATGATGACTCTCAGGGACTAAAAATGTTTCTAAAATCAGAAATATCAATAGAGAAAGGTAGAAAGAAAAAATTTATTAAGAAGTAGAGTTTATTCACCTCATTATTAAACTTTTGTTTTTATTTGTATTTATTTTATTTTTTTTCACCTCATTATTAAATGAAATTAATATTGTCATAGTTAAATTTTTATCTGCCTGTCATCACAATCTTTTTTTCCCTTTGTTCTGAAACAATTTTTTTTTGTTTTAATTTTTATTTACAATGCTGTAATCTATTTTTTTTTTTTTTATTTCTGTAATCAATGCAGGAAATAAATAAATAAAAAAAACATAGTGCTCTGATTATGATATTTGGCATTGTTTTGCCTATGCATTTATATATTAAGTATTAAGCACAAACTCCTGTAGACCAAACCCAGTATCGTTACGATTTTTCTTCATTGTGGTCAGGTGTGATCAAACGTGTGAAAATGGAGGGGGGTGGGGGACGCGCGAAAATGGGGCCGATCTAGACAACTAGTAACTGTAGGCCTATGTATAGATAAGGTCCGGGTTCCCCCCGCGAAATTTCTAAAGAGTTATGCTTAAAATAAGCTGCTCCCAACCATTTTTTCTGCTGTAGGGCCTACTGTTAGGCCTACAGTATTTGGTCGAACTTTACTAAACAAATACAGTATTATAAAATTTATAGGGCCTACTCTTTGAACTAAATCATGACACTCATCATAATGACTGGCTGTTTTGACTGAAAGATGGGGAACAGGTCAAAACGGCAAAAAAACCAAAACGGCAATTAATAAGTCAAAAAGACAATGACCAAAACGGCATCACTTTTAGACCAGAACGGCAATGGACCAAAACGGCCGCAAGTCAAAACTTCAAGACAGGGGTGGCGCCAGGACCTGCCCGACGGAGGGGCTAAAGGCCCCGACGGGGGGGGGGCTAGTGGAGCGAATAGAGTGTCACTTGGCTGGGGGCCGCCTAGGGCCCCCGGTGGGGGTCCAGGAATCCACGGATATTTGATGGATTATGGCGAATTTTTATTACTTATTTGATAGGCATCGAGTTACTATAATATGACTTCATGTAGGTTATGCTTTAATGTTGACATCAGCTTCCAAAACCAAAACATTTTGAATAAAGCAAGAAACAAAGTGTATGAAATGTAACCATCTAATTTATTTTCAAATCCTCATTCTTGAAAGTGAAATTCTATATTTTGGAAATTTTACATTAAATTTGTCAACCACGTTGTCATGGTCTAGGTTGCTTCACCTATCACGATGTATTCCAACCATCATGAGGCTATCTAAATGAGCATTTGTCATAACAGAACGCAAAAATTATTAGTCTCATTGAATTATTATTATTATTATTATTATTATTATTATTATTATTATTATTATTATTATTATTATTATTATTATTATTATTGTGGTTGTTGTTGTGATGAAAAGTTAACACAAACGATATGGTGGCTAAACGAATACCGGTATTACATGTAAATATTTTTTTTTTATTTGTTTGTTCCCCGACATAATTTATCGTCTTCCCCGACGGGGGGCCTATAGCCCCCAGCCCCCCTCTGGCGCCACCCCTGCGGCAAGACCAAAATGGCAATAAGTCAAAACGGCAATAAACCAAAACGTCAACACTTCCAGAATGACATACTGTATGGTAATTGGCAAAATGGCTAAATAAAATACTACGGTACTAGGCTACTAGGCCTAGAGACGAGGGCGTAGAGCCTAGATTAATCATTATAGTTATTGTTATAAAAATGTATACTGTAAATCGCCTAAAATTGCAGAGACAAAAAATATAATAAAAAAAACGAAGAAAAAAGTATATGCACTTGTATTTACGACGTTGTATTATAATTAGTAATAGAAAATGATCCATTATAAGTAACGTACACAGCACTTGATGATGGTGAAGTCGTTGTTGTACCGTAAACGGACCCGCTTGCATGATGTTTTCAGTTGACCATAAACAGTAGGCAACACAGTTAATAACTGAATAACCGAATCAACAACAGTTTGCTTAAAACGCCATTTTTAAAATTAAAAGTTTATTGAAAGTACCGGTAACGTTCCATGGGCATTATCTTAAAGTCAGGGTCCGGAGGAAAAAAATTTTTTGATATGTTGTAGAACTGATTTTTCTAAGACAGAAAAAAGTTGTTTGACGAAAAACTGGGGAACGGTGAATGAGATACAGATTTTTTAATATTTAAAAACTGGGGGAAAAAGGGGCGTACCTGCCTATTTTTACACCTTATAATAATCTACAAAATAGATAAAATTCGCACAAGGCAGGACAAAAAAAAAATATTACAATAAAAGATGATGGTCATATATAAAATTTTTCTTTAAGAAGTAATAATTCGAAAAATACCGGTATGTGATTTAAGATGATTCTAACTACTTGACCGTGATTTGAAACCAGTGTCAGTATAATCTTAGGTAAGCATGTGGTTAACATAACCAATAATTTAGTCCAATGAAATTGACCCTACCGGCGTCACTACAGCGTCCTCACCGATCTCTAACGTGACGTTGTTATGTGGGTGTTTTATAGATTATTGGGAATGGTAATATCACCGAAAAAATAGTGACAGTTGAATGACTAACAAAGACAACTGAAGACAATAGTTTGTCATTAGAAGTTATTTAGTATAACTTTATTCGAAAAAATAATCTCAAAATCGTTTTCAGTGACGTCGTACGGTATGATGTGCAATTTTTACCAATTAAGCCCTTAGTAAAAAATATTTGAGCCATGTAGACCTTATCAACCCAGAAACCCGGTTGTTGATTGATTATTGGTAGCGTCTCTTCGCTGCCATAAATAGTTTTTTGGCAGTTGCGTCCCCGGTGACATCGTGAGGGCATGGTGAAGGCTAGTTACGATTCGGTGGAACATCGATTGAGTATTTTCATTCATCTGGCCATGTAAGCCAGTGGTGTGTCTAGATGTCTTGAAATGGGGGAGTGATGCCGGGGCGCGAAGTTGAAGTGGGGGAGGTGCTCGATGATCAGTTGTGAGCCGGGGCGCTAATTCGCAAAATAAGGTGATTTTTAACTAATTTTCGGGGAGGGGGAGTAGATACGCCACTGATGTAAGTACAGATTTGTGCTTATATTTTACACATTTTTATAGCTTATGGTTATATAAATTTAATAATTAGACAAAGACCCTGCAAGTCTACCCATACACTTAAATTAGTGTAGAAAACTAGATGACGTCGGTACGATGTTTCTTTAAAAAAATAACAAATACGATGAATATTCTCATTTTAAGTCTAAAATGCACGGAACTATAATTAGTATTTCATCATATACAAATTGTAAATAGGAAGAAAGTTATCGTGCATGATAAGAAGGTAAAACGTTCCCAACGTCAACACAATGAGAAAGGTACGTAGCGTCTCGATTATCGTGTGCATGTGTGTGGTTGAAGATTCATACGTGCCGTCTTGATCCAAATTAATGAAAAGTGTACAACGATAAATACGGTGAAAATGAGGCTAAATTTTCATAGAAATAAAAAACGCGAAAGAATCACAACATTAATAATAATAATAATAATAATAATAATAATAATAATAATAATAATAATAATAATAATAAAATAATAATAATAATAATAATAATAGTATAATACAAATTCAATAATAAGATTGGGGGAATCACAATATAAAAGCATTAAACATTTAAATAAATAAAACTTTAAATACAGACAAAATGAGGCTAAACAATGTCATAAAAGTGAAAAAAGCGCGAAAGAAAAAAAAACTTAATAGTAAAAATAATAATAATAATAATAATAATAATAATAATAATAATAGTAATAATAATAATAATAATATTTAAAAAAAAAAAAATTTGTTTGCCGTGGAAAAAATGGTCACTCGTCTTGTGTGCTTCTCGTGCACTCTAGTAAAACATACACTTTCTTCTTTTTTAAGCTGAAAAGTGCGCAATTCTATTATAGTTTTAACTTGTTAGCGGCCATCTTGGTAGTCGGAGTTGCCAAGACTGTAATTCAAACATGGAGTAATTATCAAAAAGTACTACAAACCTTTCAGAACCTTAGTAATCAGAGCATTTTTTTGCATTTAAACAATTACAAGAATACGGCGACGATAAATTCGCCCTTGTTATAGTTCGCACTAAATGCATCCGCTCGAACTGGCATCCGCTCGAACTGACATCCGCTCGAATTGACTGGCCTTCCGAAAGATGCTTACTGCACACCCGACGACTTTCTCACGCTAAATTAACCAATCACCATTTTGCTTTGAACTTTACTTTCCCATCATGCATTTGGAACGCTACTGTATCTAGGCAACAAAGAAAACATTACGCGTCGAAAACAAATAAACCAGCTTTTGTTGTATCTTGAAAACCGTTTCTTCATTCATTCATCGACGACATCACCGACGACGAAACTAGGGGTCTGATTAGTAACTCAACCTTTCTCAAGATAATTTTGCCATACAGCAGGTATGTTTTACCCTATACTATAAAAAGGAAATGCTTGAAAATACGGGCGAGGAGGAGTCCGGTCTAGGCCCTAGTTTGGCCTAGGCGGCAGGCCCAGTCTAGGCCTAGGCACCCAGAGGATTTGCTTAGGCTGGGCCTCTTTCTCTAGGTCGGGGCCTACCTAAATAGTGGTAGCTGCTGTACTCTGTCGTAGTAGTAATGGATTTTAATAATAACCATATAGGCCTAGGCTGCTTATCTGATTAATGTGAATTTCAATTTCATTTGTGATGATATTTCTTTGTCAATTTTAATTTTATTTTTATTTATTGTTTAAAATTTTATTGTATTGTATAGGCTACAGCAGTATAAAAAAAAAGTATTAGTAATTAATAGATAGATGTAGTAGGCCTTAGGCATATTGGCTTATTTTTTTTTTCATTTAATTTCAATCTGGTTTTAAATTTTCCTGGGTAAATGAAAACATAAATAAATCCTGATATTACAACTTAAAGCTTACTGTACTCCTGAAAACGATTGAAGTAACTCAACCAAGTAAAATATCGACATTCTCAACCAACAATCTTTTCAGAACTATCTACGTGGTGTACCAGAAGCATTAGTATTATAAACTTAAAACTTGCTTTAAATTTAAATATACTGTGGGTCTACTTTAAAAATTGAATGTAGGCATAGGCCTAGTCATCTGCATTATTGAATAAAATATACAGATGAAACTTCTTTATTTCAGATACTCAGATACTCACAACTCAGTTTATATCTATAATGCTAACTTTGACCGATGATTTCCTATTGCAATACCTTGTGCTATAATTATGTGAGTGCTGTTCACCGATTTGTGGTTTTTTTTGTACTAACCTCTGTGTTTATTTTTGTATTTATATTTATATTCATTACATGTATAAGCATCAAGAAAAAGAATTTTACTTGTGAATTTTTTTAATAAGTGACAATAAAATATCTTGTATCTTGTACTAGTATAACATTTAAAATGAGTGCAAGTGTTGACGCACCACAGCCAAAGTCAATCAGGAGGCCTAAGACGTGGTCAGATGAGGTGGAAGAGGCCTATAGATTTCAACTTGCCGGCTATAGAGATGAAACTGAATACTTATCTACTCAGAGAGAAGTAAGTACAAACTGAATACTTATCAACTCAGAAAAAAAGTAAAAACTTAATACTGTAAGTTGATTCAGGTAGCGAAAGTATTGATACTTTGAGCTTTACAGCATTGGCAAATAATTGAAAGGGATAGGAGTTTGCTGTATGAGAAGCTCAAGAAATAAAATTGGTTGTCCCGTAAGGACCAGCTTGATCTTATTTTAATGTCAATCTTATTCTGATGTTTTATAATGTTAATTTTTGTGATAGTGTTGCTGTTTTTGATAATCTTGTTAAAGTTTCTATATACCTGCATCTTTGTTTTCCCAGATTACTAGGTGGCCGCATAATGGTTACATTAAGAAGCTGACACGTAAAGATGGGTATTTCTACTACTACAACAAAACGAGGGAGTGCGAAGAGAAAGATGTTCATAAAACAAAATTATATGAATACTAAGCATGGACTTACTGTTATTTCATATCTGTGATTACTTTCGATATTGGTTATTGATTTATCTATTTTATTGCTGGATAATACAAAAAAAGAACACTATTTGGAATTAAGCCTAATAACCACAAACTCACCACAGTCAAAACATTACTGAATTGGCTGCTGCCAAGTTAGCAAAGAAGTCATAAAAAATATGTTACACTGAATGAGGAAGGATCTGCTTGTGTGGACACATAGTTTACTTTCTTTTAATTCAACAGGACTTTCTCTGATCTGATGCTGTGGTTTGTGAATCTCAATAAAACCCTTCTGGTATTACAGAATTATGCATTCACATAGACTTAACCATGGTAAGAGCAAAAGTGTGTGGTACTGTATCCTCAGTTATAATAACCTATTGAATCTACCAGGTGCCCAGTGTTGTATAGTAATTTCATACTCAACTTTATTTTTAAAATCGTTTAAGGTCATTATTATAGGTTAATACTGTACATAAAAGTTGTAAATACCAAGGATAATGCAATGTTGTTTTTGTTTAGATGCCTAAAAATACCTTAATATTGATTTCTCTTATCTTAATAAATTAAAAAAATTGTTTCCATACATTTTTCCTGGTTTTTATTTACTGTACAATGTTTGAAATTTCCACTTTGCATCCTCTATCACACAGTTATTACAGTACTATTCTTTGAACAAAGATTGGCAACAGTAGAAAAGTTGGTATTGCCCACCAGCACGCTGACTGTTTGCCTTTTGTAGGAACATTGCTGGATATTGCCCATCAGCACCCTGCCCGTTTGGCTCCAGTAGGAACATTGGTTGGTATTGCACACCAACACCCAGACTGTTTTGCCTCAAGTGGAAACGTTGGTGGATATTGCCCACCAGGACCCAGACCATTTGGCTACAATAGGAACGTTGGTGAATATTGCCCACCAGCACCCTGACAAATTGGCTATAGTAGGAACGTTGGTCGGGATTGCCCATCATCACCTTCACCGTTTGCCTTCCCGCATTATCTTCCATTAATGGACAAACTTCAATGTGAAGCCTCGTGTCCGACTAGCCCAATATGATTTGCAACCAGTGCACAATTGTTTGGATGTGTGGCTTTCTTTTTAATTCATTAATTTAAAAAATTTAATATTTTTAATGATTTAGTTAAAATAAAGTTTTTGCATTATATTTTCCGTAACCCAGGATGGGATATCCCTCCGAGATATCCCATCAGAGGGAACCTGAAACTCATCAAGGGTAAAGGCGTTCACTTCCCTATTTAGACCACACTTTGCCTAATGTAATGCAATCACTCTCTTTTAACGTTAGTTTCATCTGAATTTTATACTCAAACTTTCATCAGTTGCTATAGTGAAATCATCAGTATATCTGTGCGCGTACTATATTTAACTGTTGTTGAACGGAAATAAAGATCTGTTACATGGTATGCAATTCCAATCAATGTATCTAGAACAATAATGAGCATGTACAGGATTCTTGCATACATCACACCCAATTATAAAATGACTATTGTCTATAGTTTTATTACATATTTCGCAGATCATTTAGTACAAGAAAAAAAAGACAGTATAAATATTAATCTTAGTTCACATGCAACAGTTTTGTATTCACATATATATTCACAAGCTAAAAAATAATCCATTTAAGGGAAGTAACATTCATTAGTGATGATGTTTCTAGCAAAGTTAGGGCCAAAAGGAAAACACTGAGAGATAAGCTTCTTGGAAAAATACGCAACATGGACAATGTTGAATTTGCAACTTGTTATCCTCCAATGTTCAAGTGGTAATTGGAAAATTTTAAAATACTGTAATCTCATTATTCCTTCTAGAAGAGCATATAAAATTAAGCAGGAGCCTAACATTATTAATATTTTGATCATATTATTTTTATCGTAAGTTAATGAATCCAAACCATTGAATTATTAATGTTCTTGTATCTTGTTCATTTTTTATGTTCATTGTGTGAAACAATAAAACTGAAACTGAAAACTGAATATTATACTGTAATTTCACTTGAAAGCAAATAATTTTGCCTACAGACGAAGCAATTCAAATATTTAAATTTATTTTAATATTTTGTTAGCATTTCATGGTAAAAAAGCAAAATGTATTAACAATAAGTACTTGTAAAATTAATGCTAGCATTTAATGTACAGTAATTTTCTGTATGTAAAATAATACAAATTTCCAAACATTCTTAAAACAAAACCTGGTTTCTTTGAACTTGCCTGTCAAAAATTGGCCTACTGTATACCGCAAAATACAAATGACTAATAAAGTAATATTACACTGATTATAAAAATTCATCAGGGTTATTTAATTGTTCATGATATCAAACGTCGCTAGATAAAGTAAGTGTTTATCATTGGATTTTCATAAAGAAACATTTGATATAATATTACACTACTGTAATAATAATAATACACTAAAATAACAATGAAGCACATGTAACTATCAAATATAGCAAATGCTACTACACAGCTGTTTATAATACAGTACTTATAATACTGACTTAACTAATTTTAAACTATTTCTACTTTCTGTACATGTTTGGCATACATGTACCAAATAAATGAATTACTGTATTGTTTTATTTTCCTTTTTTTGTTGATACAGCATCCCATACCCTGATAAAGTTAGATCCTTGTTTCTTTTTTTGTTGATACAGCGTCTCATACCCTGATATATTTGGATTCTTGTAGATAATTCTTTATACCCAACTAATCTCTCTATGTACAAAAATTTGTTGCAATATAAATTGTGCATTTATCACTAAGATGTCTGCACAGTTAAGGCTGTTAACATGTTCGCTGCCAGCGACGAGTATACTTGTCCCACTGGGTGCTGCTGAGGGCGCTATGGACGACTATACTCGTCAAAACCGGGGTAACATTCTGGTGTTTATTAATTTATTGTTATACATTGTAGAACCACAGACTTGACGGCTGATAATTCGGGGAATACTGTACAGAATACACCTAGATGATAATGTACAAATAATTTATGTATGTTTGTTGTGTTATGTTGCAGGCAGCACACTAGATTACACAAGTGTGGGTGCCCTCTGAACATATACAACTCATGCAAAAAGCGGACTAGAAAACTCGCACTTGGCAGAGGCAATAAAAAGTACTGTCCCATTGCCGGTGATGAGCTTACTTATCTCCCAATATTTTCTTGCCACTTTTTTAGACACGTCATTTTGATGATAAAATTATGACTTAATCAAATTTCAAAAAAGCATGTTTGTACATGTGTACTTGTTTTAGCACATGGGAAGGAACCTAAAAATATGGTCTGGCAGTTAACGTGTTAAGCAAAAGCTTTTAATGTAGAATTGGGATTACGGATTTTCTTTTTTTTTTTAAGATTAAAATGTAACATTTTATCTTAGGCCAGGTGCACATTGTATCAGCTAACATAATTTTATGGAGATATCAAATCAACAAGACTCAAGCAGGGAATCGTATTCTACAAAGATGTGACAAAAATACCACTGACAACCAGCAGACGCTATTGCGTTGTCAAGAGCAGAGACGGATTTTGTGTGCCCAGCTTCACACAACATGAGTTACATAGTATAAACCTAGCTTAGAATGCTAATTTCTAAATATATATTAATGGGAAATAGTTAAAATCATTTGTGTCTTACACAACATAAAAATATACAGTAACACCAGTGGTGGCTCCAGATATTTGCTGACTAGGTTTTAGACCACAATATTAGTGATTGCCAATCAAAATAACATTTTGAATAGGAAAATTAATATTTTTGTGTAATAGCTCCAGACAACTGGGATCCAACTGGCATCACCACTGAGTATTTTAAAAAGAACCTACAGTATATTTACTTAATAAAAAAGAGTTTAACTGTGTTTTACAAATGGAAATAAGTATACTTAACAATATACAGATCAAAATATTAATATAAAAGCTATAATAATTTCTTTTAAATAGTTAAACTATTCAAAATTGTATTTTACAAAACGTGAAACCATGTAAAATACAGTAGTATACCCTAAATATATAAGAATAAAAAGTGGTTAAAACCATCTGTTTTAATACACATTAAAATATGTCACATAAAACAATATTTTAAAAAGAAAACTAGTTAGTAAAAAGGAGTTTAACTGTGTTTTACACATGAAAGTATAAGATACTTAACAATATACAGATGAAAATAATAGTTAAACTATTTAAAATTGGGTTTTACAAAATGTAAAGTAAAATAGCATACCCCTAAATATATATCAAAGATAAATAGTTAAACGATTTAATTGAGTCTTACACAACATGAAATATGTCACATAGCATATTATTTTTAAAAGAAACTATATTTAATTAGTAAAAAGTAGTTTAACTGTGTTTTACACATGAAAATAAGTATACTTAACAATATACAAATGAAAATAATATAAAAAATCTATATTTAATTTTTAAAAACAGTTGAGCTATTTAAAATTGTGTTATACAATAAAGTCAAGTAAAATAGCATACCCCTAGATATATATCATGAAAATAAGTATACTTAACAATATACAAATGAAAATAATATAAAAAAACTATATTTAATTTTTAAAAACAGTTGAGCTATTTAAAATTGTGTTATACAATAAAGCCAAGTAAAATAGCATACCCCTAGATATATATCAAAGAAAACTAGTTAAAACTATTTAACTGAGTCTTACACAACATGAAAATATGTCACATAGCATATTATTTAAAAAAAACACAACTATATTTAATTAGTAAAAAAACAAAACAGTTTAACTGTGTTTTACACATGGAAATAAGTATACTTAACAATATACAAATGAAAATAATATAAAATCTATATTTATTTTTTTTAAATAGTTAAACTATTTAAAATTGTGTTTTACAAAATGTCAAAGCAAGTAAAATAGCATACCCCTAATTTTTTTTCAAAGAAAAATAGTTAAAACCATTTAATTGAGTCTTACACAACATGAAAATATGTCAAATAGAACATTATTTTAAAAAGAAATTGTATTTACTTAGTAAAAAAACAGTTTAACTGTGTTTTACACATGGAAATAAGTATACCTAATAATATAGAGATGAAAATATTAATATAAAATTTATATTTAAAAAAATACTTATTTAAATTAATTAAAAATATTTAAACTAATTAAAATTTTGTTTTACACAACATGGAACCAAGGACAATAGCACACACCAAACTTATAAATGTACAAATGAAAATACTGTATTAATTTTTAAATCTATAAATCAACTATGTGATTGCATCTTACAAAATATGAAAACATGTCACAATCACCTAACATATAATCACAGGATCCGGTGATATAATGTACAAATGAAAATATTTTAATCTAAATTCATGCACAGTATATTAAATAAAAGAATATTTAGTTAATTGTGTCTAACACAACATGAAAACAAGTCACACAGGCTACACCTTGTAGGTTTTAATGCACAAAATAAAATACTAATTTACCTAATAATGTATTGAATAAAAAATAGTTTATAACTATTTGACTTACAAACAAGTCATGCACAAATGAATATATACATTTTAAAAATAACATAAATCAGCTTGTTTTAAATGTGATTTATAACTAGAAAACTATTAGCTAATAAAGCACAAATAGCTGACACACACACTGAGGAGGGGACTGGTGGGAATATGGAATGACCACTGTGGTGGGGAAAGATTAATAATAATAAGAACCTTCTACACATTGTCATCATACACAACAACCTGGGTAAAGACTTGTGAAAACAATGGCCTGTTTTCAGTACCTTCTCAATAGACCTTTTCAGAGAGTCAATCTAACTTGACAACCAACTAATCAGAACCAGATCGGGAATATGGGTGTGTCCTACAAACACATGTACTGTCCTACAAACGGAAATGTTTGCATATGTTTTCACTCTGTCGTTTTGTGGGACCTTAGCAACAATATCCAAGGGGCGTGGCTTAGCGGAATGGTTCATTGTATCCTTCAAAACAAACTAAGGGAAGGGATTTGTCGGTACAATAGGAATGGCCTGTTAAGAACCTTCTAAAATGTGTCATACACAATGAAGTGGGGTAAAATAAGAAACGGCCTATTTCGGAACATTCTAAAATGTTTAATACGCAACAAACTGTGGAAGGGATTTGCGGGCAAAGTAAGAAATGGCCTGTTTCAGACCATTCTAAAGTGTCATACACAATGAACTATGGAAAGGATTTGCAGGCAATATAAGAAATGGCCTGTTCAGAACCTTCTAAAGTGTCATAAACAATAATCTGCAACATATAAACACAACACAGAATAAGCAAAGAGCACTATAACTATAAATAATGAATAAATATTATGTAACTTACATGCAAAATTAAAATTATATTATTTGTGAGAAGACCATGTTTGATTGAACACTATATTTCACAAACCTTCCTGTGAACCATCAAATGAAGCTTCAATCCAACCACTACACTATCTCCTTTTTTATTTTGGTACTTGTTTACCTTTCGTTTAAATGTGGTCATCATTTTGTCTTTTACATTCTAATTTTCCTATATTTTGTTACTTTACATGGCTTTGAACAACCTTCAAGAAAAAAAAACCACTTGGGTGAATCAAGTGTATCCGTGTAAAAAGACAGTGTATTATCATCATTATTATAGGCTTCATTTAGTGTTAATAATGAATTTGTTCACTGGTTTATTTATATAATAGTATACAAAAATACATAATTAACAATTTCTCTACATTTTATAAAGCTCCATTTCATTATAGTGAACCAATTCTCTACACCTCTGGCAAATACATGCAGGAGATACCTAATCAATAGGCGCATCTGAGCAAAGGCCAGCGGGGAGAAGGGCACAGTCTTTGGGTCTAGTGGCCACATACAAAAATGAAAAATTTGAACCTTTAAAAGAAATTTAAACTCCACAGTGGTTATCTTAAAGAATCCTTCAATTTTTCCCAAAATGCAAGTTCTTCATCTGGATTATGTGGCCACTCGATGTACGTATTATCTTTAATGAATCTTCTAATAAGGCGATGCACCTTTAATTGATCGGTCAACAGCTGATCAGGAATTTTCTGTAAAAAGATCAAAATAATGACCTCCTTACGTTCCTTGAAAAGCCGTGACAACGCAAACTGTAGTTCGTATTTGCACCAGCCACTATCCAAAAATGCTTCTGTTATTACACAAATTGTATGACGACTAGCATCAATGCTTTCAATGATATTTGTTGCTATCGGTTTTCCGATGTCAAAATCCCTTTTATGAAAGCAGAGTTTGAACCCATTTTCTTTTTCTAACTTTTCACGCATATCTTTAACCCATTTTTCATCCTCACTACTATGGGACACAAATGCATCATACACATAATTATTATCCTCATTGTCAAGTGGTTGGTAGCCTTTTGTATGCGCTCTGACAACATAATACAAATACTTTATATAGTATCTCTTTTTAACAATTGCAATTGTAATTATAATAGTTAATATCAAACCTGTTCCGATAACTATCCAAATATATAAAGGAATTTTATGGTCACAGTTAAGATCTTGCGGGTGGAAACTTAGAATAGGTTTGTTGCGGTAGGCTGGAGGGGAATCACAAATACACTCAAGTTCAATTTAAAACCCCCTGTTGGTTGGTAATGCCACACGAATTTTGCCTTTACAGTATACGAACTATCGGTCCTGTCTCTTATACACATCTAGATGTGTATAAGAGACAGCCTTGAAACAAACCGGATTCTGCTTCATGTAGTTGGTTTTTCCTCAGGATGAGAGTCTCCAGCTTGGTTAAATGATTGAAAGCAGCAGTCGAGATCTTGGATATGGAGTTGTAGGAAACATCAATTTGTACTAAGTTATGTAGTCCTTGAAAGGAGTCGTCATCAAGCTTTCTTATACGGTTGTGAGAGAGAACAATAACTTCTAAAGTTGAAGGTAGCCCCTTTGGTACTTCTTCCAATGAATGATGGCTACAGTTGAAATATTTGTGGTCCACCACCTTAGGACATGGTGTTGGGGTTGATGCACTAGAAAGCACAAGCTGTAGGATAAGGCACAAAATCCAAAGCGAAAGACCATTTGTTTCTGCCATAGCTTGGATTGGTGGCTGACTTCAAATGCAATTTATCTGGTTCTTCTGCAAAGAGTAAAAATAAAAGAAATATTGCAACAAATTTTTAAAAAATGATTAACACAATGATAATGCACAGAAATATAACATAAATTTAATGGACTTAAAAACATTCCAAAAGGGTAGGCCTTTACCAAATTTCAGAGGTACTAAACAATTATGGTAAAAACACAACATGATACATATTTAAAACACTTCCAATACGGTCATGTTTGATCACTCTGCTTCATTTCTAACGTCTAATATCTAGTTTTTTTTGCAATGGTTTTCAATTTTGATATCTGATGATTTCTAGTGAACCCCCTCGAATTTTTGAATGAGTCCCACTCGGACTGAATGTCTGTTTTTAACTTACCTTGCATTAAATCAAAATTTAGCACCTAATTCATTATTTGGTCACCCGTTTTTAAATTGTAGCCCTGCGATACAAGCCTACATTCATAGGATATCTCAGCTTCAGAAGTTCGAAGATTTAAATTAAACGCAACTCCAGCAAACCATGACTTTACGATGGCACACATACGAATGGCAAACATCGATAAAAACCCGGCTGCCGTCTCAACTTTCACTGGCCTTTGGCTGAATGTTTGTAAGAAATGTACCAACCGTTAACGAAACCAGTCGCCATCTACCTAGAGTAAATGGTGCCATAAAACGAAGCTAAAGTTTTGCGACTTAATCCACCAAAGGCAGATAAAGTTTTGCGACTTAATCACCTGATTGTGGATTGTGTGGTTAGTAAATTCCATAGCCATACTGTCCATAGTGCACAGTAACCTATGTGCTGTTGGAGCATTTTGGGGAAATTGACTCTCCTTTTTTCCATCCCAAACAAAATATTATTAATAAATAACATGGTCCATCTCAGTCATCATAGCCAGTCACAATAGGCTAGGAAGTTTGTTTTCAACAGCAGACACACACTACAGAACGGAGTGCGTCAAAACGAGTGTTTGTTAATTTTTAGTGATAAAGAATCATGAAACGTCCTAGAATAACCATGGAGGTATTATTGAGAAGGAGATTACTCGGCAAAGCCACGCGCACGCAGCGCTATGCAAACGAACCAAGATCAAAGTTGCCGCAGCGCGTAAAGAACGTTTGCGCGATGCCTTTGAAGTCCCATGTGTTCCCCGCCATCAAATTTTCAGCAGGCATAGTTGACCAAAAAATTGAACATGACGAAATGGAGAGCACCTTCTTTTCTCAATGCGCACTACATACTGTCAATCATTATGGCTGCGCAATCTTTTCTATTTAGAAGCTGATACATTCATCTCTCATAAAATATTAAACATATTAATATTTTCCTCCAAGAAAAGTTTCGAATTTTTATGGAACATTTACATGACCTATAAAAGTATAGTATATTTCAACTTCAATTTTCATAAATTGGCCAAAATAGTCGAACCAGTCAATCTTTAGACGAAATTATAATGAACACAGAAGTAATTTTAACACTAGATTTGAACTTGTCACTGAGGACGAGTTAGGTGATCCGCCGTACTTTGACCCTCACGAAGCACGCACGGTTCTGATTGAAAAGTATTATATGCTAAAAACATGCTCTATTTAAAGAGTAATTTTGAGCATTTTAAGGACTTACGAATGTGTACACATACGTCTTAACGTCCGTGCGCACGGTTTTATTAATACAGTGTCAGAAACCCAACACATGTAACCGAAACGTAATTTCCAGCTTCAGTACGTGCTGTGGGCGTGGAAATGAGCGTACGGCACGTAAATTTTGGAAAGTTTTGGAATATTCAAAATGACCTGAAACGTGCTTTAAATTATCTGAAAAGTGATATTAACAATTTTAAAATTTTAACGCACAAGTACGAATACCTTATACGACGTGCCTGA